GTCCATGCATTTGTAGCTGATCAGTCCTCAACATGTTTGAAGTCTGTAACTCAACAACAGCAAAAGTAGGCTAGATCCAGATTTCTGAGTTGATAAACTGATAACTAGATATGGTGAGTACATTGGTGAGAACCGCACACTGTGCCATGGCTTGGAACCAAATGTTTGGATCCATTCAAAACAGTTTCTTTAGCTCTTCCAACCCCTTTAACACAAACATGTAGCCATCACAAAAATGAGAAATTTAGTTCTCAGCTTGCTCCCACTTCTCTTTCAGAAGAGTGGAAGACTCCTACAAGCATACCTGTATCAAAAGCTTGCTTCAAAAACATGTCTCCACTGGCTGTGCTGGAGGCAAGCTCTCCCCCAGCCTGCTACTTACTGAAATGCAGAGGCTTGCTCTCACCTCTCCCTCTGCCTAATGCCCTACTCTCTGGCACTAAATATTTCCTCTTCAGCTGCCAATACCTTGAAGTAAGCCCCAAAGAAAACAGCAAACAGTGAAAATGGTACCAGTGACTGTTCCACCAACGCAAACATAAAAGCCAGGAAATCCCTAGTTAAACTGTCAGCCCTCCCTTATGGGCTACCGCTATGATTTTGCCTTCTCCACATTACCTCACCCACAAAACACACACACACTTCCTCCCTTCCCCTTCACACAAGACAGGGCAAATTTCACTCCAGCACGTGGAGTGGTTTCAAGCAGAGGTTTTTCTGCCGGACTGGAATGTCGGGTCGCCCCTGTGCTGCGTTAAAGCTGATGGCTGGCGTGTCTGGCGCAGGTTCTCAGCTGATCGCACGGTTAACTGAGCTGGGCTGAAGGAAGGACTGCTGGGCTGACGGTTTGCAGAATCTGTTATGCAATGGAACAAGATGGGAAAGGGTGGGTTTTCTTCCTAACTCATGCTGTTGTCAGTCAATGAGTTGAGAAGAGGCAGATGGCCATAGGACAGCTGTAGAGATAGGAAACTTGACGTGATGACGAAAAAGTCATGATGGTGAACTCTTCAGCTATTCCTTGCAACTAACTAGAGCTTCTCTGGCTTCAGAGCTTTGTTAGTAGAATTAAGGCTTGAACAGTCTTAATAGGTTTGTACTAACATTTGTTTGAAGGATTATAATATTAGGCAGCAGAAAAAGTATCAAGTGCCAAATATTGTACTAGCTTTGTACAGCTCTTTCAATCTTCAAAGAACTGCTTATGTGTTAACTAACGAATCTCCATACACATCATCACAAGGCAGACAAGTAACACCCTTATTTTACAGCTGGAGACACAGAGGTCATTGACTTCACAAATTCATAATAGAATAAGACTTACCAGTCAGCAGTTCTTTGCTCAGTTCAATGCAGTAACCCTGCCACCAAGAGCCACCAGTCTTTGCTACAAAGCCACCAAGCCACAGCATCTTATTAGAGCACTGGTAAAATTAATATTAAGTTGATTCCTCACTCCCTCAGTACCAACCTCAGTTCACACAGTTGTGCCTAAAATTCAGAGGCAGCTTTAATGACATCTCACCATCCATCTTTTCTGTGACCAAACCCAACCATTCTGTCCCTCTTAGCTTTCAGGAATGCATTTCATTCTTTCAGTAGGAAACTGTTTCTCCTTGCACATATGCTGCAAATTCTTCCATTCCCAACCTGCTCCCTTCTGCCACCGTACATAAACTTTACCCACTCATGTGGCTTACAGTTTACAACGGAGCATCAGCACGTGGTATTTATGCATCTAACCCTTCTTCTATCCGATCTCTCAACCCCCTACACTTGCCATCTTTCCACCTGGATATTATTCCTCCACCCCCACAAACTAAGGCACAGCTTTCATTTGACCACAACACCATCACAATGTTTTTTCTACCAGGCTCAACCTCAGTGTTTATTTCCCTTCTTCTGCTTCCATGCTCCTTTCCCTCCAGACTTTCACCAAGTACAGTCACTGCCTCAACACCAAACACCATCTCTTCCAACACTGCCACCCTGCCCTCCAATACAGCTGTCACCATATCTAATTCAGCTTCCAGCCTGACACCACATTTTTCTTGCGCTCACTCCTTGATTTCAAGTTTCTAGTCCTTATACAAAGCCTTGATAACTAATTTCCTCCTACTCTTCCTCCTACTGACTTAGCTACTCCCAAGACTCCCTCCTATACAACCTGCCTTTTTCCCCTCCCATTGACTCTATGCCACATGTTCAACCCATCTCTTCCACTAGTCAAGCCTATCTGAAAATATATTTTCACAATTTAAAAAAAAATTTTTTTTAGAAACAACAGCAAAACTACTGCTGTATCAGGGGCATCCCTTCATCCATCAGCCTGACCTAGACTGGAAGCTCATGGAGGCAAGAACCATGTCTCATCTATTGGTCGTACTGACTACGCTGTCTGCCCTCAATATGATGATATCATCTGACAAGGTTTTCACATGTTTACAACTTGGCATAAATAATTTGTGCTGAGATTTTGCAAGGACTCTGGCAAAAAGCAATTCAAGTATAAACAAACATTTAAACTCTCTTAAGTCAAAGCAGTTGCTATAACTTATTTGCAGATACAGTTTGATAGTTAGATGAGTAACAGTTGAAAGTATCTTTGCAAATATTTTGATTTCTGCCAAAGTTGGTCTCTTAGACAGATGGTCATTTGCATGGAGCGTGGAAGGGATTCTAGTGCAGGGACAGTTAAAATAGTCTTGCTGCTGAAGCTGAACACATGGACTCTGGCTCCTATTCAAAATGAAACTGCATACGTGCCACACCCACCATCAGACCATGCTTGTCAATGGCCCAAGCAAGACACAGGGGTAATGGAGAAGGAAAGTGCTAGACAGCATCTAGAGTAATACCCAAATGGACTCCCGCAGCTTACTAATGTACAGGGCAAAAGGTTTTAGTCTTATGTAGGAATTAGTCTTGCCAGGAATTCGTTTTGTGTAGAACTGCTAGAGCGCTGGTCAGTCCACAGCCTGCCCAAATACTTACTTGATTTACATTCTCTACAAGTCATTTGAGCCTACAGGCAAATACATAATTTATAAAGAGTATTTACACAAACTAGTTTAAGTCAGTGTATATTTGCACACTAGTCAACAACAGCCCAAGAGGGGGCATTGTGGTCTATTGTTCAGATCTCCTACTAACACAAATGCTATTTTTAAGTCTTACAATACAATCCAAATTAACAAAAACTTGCAGAGATTACCTGCAAGCAGAAGTCAATTTAAGAACAGAACACTGAGCTTGGCCTACTACAGAGTGTCAAAAAAGCAGAGTCTTTGCTACTCCTGTACATTGCAACAAGTCAATGTGACAGCCTAGTCGAACAGTGGCATATTTAACAGTATGTTGCACGACAGATACCATCACAGGAGCAGAGCTGTGCAACTTAACCACAGTCAAAGGTCAGAGAGCTCCAACATCCAAAACTGGAGTAGCTTAATTTTATGCACCAATGCATACAAAAAAGCAACTAATTTAAAAATAAAGAGAGAAGGAAAAGTCACACCAGGAACTTAGTACAAAACCACAAACTGTCAGATTTACATATGTTCTTGTCTCTAAATCCACTCCAGTAAAAGAAGCCAAAATTAGACTGCTTGCAGTAAGGAGTATTCTGGATTCTTAATTTTCCCTTCTAAAAGCACACAGTATGATTACGTCGAGGAAAGTTCCATCTAGTCACTTCATGTGCTAGTGCCAATAGGGAAGTCTAGAGTCCAGAACCGTAGAAATCTGCACTTGTGTCCCTCCCTCTGCTTGTGTCAAAGACAGAAAAGGTCAAATACGGCTCATACTTAATGCATTTAAAAAAAAAAAAAAAAAAAAACCAAAAAAACCCAGCAGCAGCTACCGTTAAAATCCCCCTCACCCTCTAGTAACATGACAGTGTACAGGTAGCCTACATAAATGTTTCTAGAATAGAAAAGTCCAAATATCTGAAATTCAATAAAGGAACAGAACAAACCAAAAGTTCTTGTAGAATTACATTATGATACACTCCAATCTCAAATATATAGGTCTTTGCAAATGAAGACCTAAAGTCCACAGCTGCACTAGCCATGAAACACTGAGGGAAGCAACTCACACAATAAAAGCCATTCTAGAGAGAAAGAAAGGCGTTCGGGAAAATATATGTAAAATTGATATTTAGCTGCAATTCCCAGTTTCTGGGATGCCAACTTAATATTATTCTACTCATATGTTTTCGTTTTCAACTGGGATAAGGGTTTTAGGCACTCTGAGGCACAGCTTGATCACCTCTATAGCTTCTGCATCTCAGTTACATTAATATGAAATTTTCAAGGGACTATCACCTGGTGCTTCTTTTCACCTATAACACAAAGCACCTACCCACTAGAATCAAACTACTGAACCACAGTTCACATCTACCACTGAAAGCTTCACCAGAAAAAGATACCTGCTTGCATGAAAATGAATGCACTCACATGAAATTGAAACAGGAAGTATATGCAGGGAATGACTACAAGACTGCACAAATGGGAATAGAAAGGAATGGTTTTAAGACCTGGTAAACTAAAGAAAACTGTCTCAGAGGAAAAAAAAAACCCAATTAGTATGCATTCCTCCTTTTCTCTTCTGCAAAAAGACAAAAGTATTTTTACAAGTTTCAGTGAACCAGCAGCAAAGAATGAGATCATATTTCTAGTTAAGACACTAGAAAGAGCCATCTAGAATCAAATCACAGGTCTGCTACAGAAAACTCATTAAAATGGGCATACAACCTGTCTGCACCTCAGTGCCCTTGCTGGTAAAACAGAAATAATATTTCCTTTATGGGTGAGCTAATTTTGATTTACTCTTCTTGTTAACAGCATTAAAATGAAAACTTACGTCAGGCTACAATTCCACGAGCTAAAAATGTTAGGATATGTCTAAGTGTCCTCAGAAAGAGACAGAGTCTATTTCACTGAAAAATGAAACACTGTTTTACAATCTTGAACAACAATACTAAGAAAACTATGTCTTACCAGCTGGAATTCTCTGCGTCTGTCATAGGCGTTCTGGATACCACTGTCTGCCCACAGTGCTCGTATTGCTGGAAGGTACTGTAAAAAAACCCGAGTCTCCACCATCCCTTGTGCCACCATGGCCGACCGAGTATCAAAAGCCATCATCATATCCCCGTTACTCTGGTTGGCAGGAACTCCCCAGGGAATGTGAAGTTTCTCTCTGGCATCTACCAGGACTCTCACACCTTTAATAAAAAGGAAGAGCCATAATTAGTGTTCTCCCAAATCTGCCATGTCTACCTATCACACTAGACCTTAGACAGATTTAAACACACATGTACTTTTGACTTATTGTGTAGTCCCAGTAAAGCTAATGGGACTAATTGCACAACAGGAAGTTAGCATATATGATGCCTTCACAGAGCTGAAATTCTAGCTTTAGAGCTCCGTTTCAAGGTAACATGGAAGTTACAGTTATTTGTAGTGAGAAAATGAGTTATATACTTCTGAGATTGTTAATGCCAGATTCTGGAAAAAACATCTAGTTTGTGACAAGGGTTTGTGACATTCTAGTTTGTGAAAAGAAGAAAAATAATGTCCTCATCAAGAATTAAAACGGTGGTTTTGTGAAGTGCACTTCACAAGCGTTATCTGTTTACCTTTAACGATGTATACTGAAGTTAGTAAACGAAACTCTCATCTACAGAATAAACAATCTATACTAGCAAATAGTCTATGCTTTTGTTTGAACTCAAGAACGAGTTTATGGCAGTTTAGTTCACCTAGCAAGAATACAAGATTTCAAGCATATAAATTAACTATGCTAAGCACTATTTAGGAATCCAGTGAACTGTTTACCACCTTGCTTAAAGGCATTTCCTTCTCTTCACCCGTGGTAATAAACTTGGTAGTTTTGCCAAAAGACAACAGCAATGTTCGTTTTCAGAAACAAAGGTAAACTGTATCGCATACAACTCATAAGGTGTTAAATGCTTTCTAAAAGGTACCTCAATTTGCCGAAATCCACACAACAGTTACTTGTGGAAAGAGTTCTGCTACAAGCACAGAGCTTCCTAAGTCTTTCCTCTAAATACCAAGCAAAAAGCAACACCTCTTTAACGCTCAATCTTGGGCTTTAAGAGAAAATCTGTGCTTTTTTCCCCCCCACACCTGTACTGCCTACGTGAGAACGGTGAGCTAATACTACCATTAGATTCCCTCTTAAAGCCCAAACAGGGGGAGGAAAATCAGCATGAAGAATCAAGGCCGGGGCTAGGTATATGGGAACAAAGCCTCTTCATCTAAGAAGTGTTCAACACACATGGCTACACCCTACATGGCTGCAACCTACACCCCTAACACACGTGCTACTTTCGGTATCAAAGAGCGTACGATGCACTTTGGTTTTCTGAAACCGGTCGTCAGCCCCGGGGTCAAAACTTTTCTGCCTGTCAACTGGCAAGGCAAGACTTGACGGTGATGTCAGAAAGTGATGTCTAAATATCTCACCGTTTCATTAACTACCTCATAGCCGAACTCTTCCCAGCCGCCTCCCCCCACAGAGACACCGGCAGACAGCAGCGGTTAGTGCAGCCCTAACCCTCCTCGGGAGGCAGCCCAAATGAGCGCTCCCAAGGGCCGGAGTGATTTAGGAGCCCAAGTCCCACTCCTCCATGACTCGACCCGATCAAGATGTCACCCCCCACCCCCCCACCCCCAGGGCACTGCTGGATGGATGGATGGACACCACCCATCTCAGGTGCCTTGGGGATTTCCAAATCAGGCCGACCCGCCCTGCTCCAAGGGCAGCGATGGCCGGCCACGAGGGTGCGGGGCCAAGCAGGAGGCAGGCAGGAAAAACCACACCTCCACAACGAAGGCAGACGCACGTATGCAAGCGCGTGGCTACGTACACCTTACTCGAGGAGGCGCGGGTGTAAGGCAGGTGTGCACACCCCTGCCGTGGTTACTCTGGGAGGTGTGCGGGGAGGGCGTACATCTACACAGACGTGCGCCTGCCTTACACCCTCACCTCCGAGATTCAGGCAGAAAGGGGCGCGCGTGTACATATACGTGTGGGGCTCCCCACACGCCTCCTGCTGTATGGGGGGCTATGGCGGGGGGGGTGTGCAAATAGGCACACACATACATACATACACACACACACACACGCGCGTGGTGGGGGGTGGGGGCAGGTCCGCACCTTTGATGACGTTGCTGTAGATGGTGGCGCGGAACTCCTCGCGGGCGGTGCGGTCCCAGTCCTGCCCGTGGATGATGCGCATCTGCTTGAGGAAGGTGGACTTGCCGCTCTCGCCGGCGCCCAGCAGCAGGATCTTGACGAGACGCTTCACGTACGTCTTCTCCTTGCTGAGGCACTTGTCGATCTCCTTGGACTTGCGCTGCTGCTCGGCCTCGCCGCTGCTCAGCAGGCAGCCGGGGAAGCAGCCCGACAGCGCGGAGCGCCCACCTGACCGCCCTCCCTGCCGCGCCCCGGCACCCGTCACGTGACAGCATCCTGGCTCCTTCCGCACCACGTGACGCCGCGCGGGGCAAACGGGCGCCGCATCATTACGGGAAGGCGGCTTTTTACCGCATTGCTCCGAGTAGCCCCACCCTAGTGCCATGTACCGTAGTACCACGCGCTCCAAAGCGCAGCGCTCTTGCTGCAGACAGGATCCCTTCTTAAGTGGGTCTCGTAATAATAAATATTAAATTTATTCATATAAAATATTAATATTATAATAATAATATAATTATCATTATATTAATATAAATGCATTATATATATTTATATATATTATATTTATATACATATATTAATATAAATATAAATATTATATAAATATAATGGTCTAAATAAAAGTGATTGCTCAGTTCTAGAGTTGGGCATCCTTTTTTGGCCCCATCCCCCCCAGTGGTCTTCGGCGGATCTTTGATCAAACCTGGAAAAAATTGTTCTGTGCAACGTGTGCCCCTGCAAAACGTGCCCTGGCTTTCGCGGCAGCCCGTGCAAAACAAATGGCACTCGGAGCATCTGGACCAAGGCTTGGGTCGACCGTCGGCACCTCCTGATGGCTGAAATAAAAACCGTGCTTCCACCCGGATGACCCAGGTCTCTCCCCCTGGACGCCTACAGTGAGCAATATCAAATAAATCACTTATTGTCATCTTTTTTCAGCAAATACAATCCTTTCAACTGTCCAATATTACATTTTTTTCATATTTAAGACCTGGCAGCGCTGGTCCTACCCTGGCACTGCCACATCCCACTGCAAGCAGGAGGGATGGGGTGTTTACACAGGGCTGGGGATTGAACCCGGGTCCATCCAGCTCGTGGGGAGAAAGTACTGCAAAGCAGCAGGGTCCAGACGGGTGAAAGCTGTGACTGGGGTAAATGAGGTTCTTTGGGTGAATTTGATATCTTTTACTAGACCAACTTTGATACCTGATTTACCCCAAGAACCTTGTCTGTCTATGTGCTGTGACCAACACGGCTGCAACCAATACCCCAGCAGGGGTAAAGCACAGTCTGCAGCCCCCTGCTCCAGCCCTCCCAGGTGCCCATCAGCTGTGGATGGGGGAAGGGGGTGAAGAAGCCATTGCTGCAAGGTGCCAGAGGTTTCTGCAAGGCTGGCGGTGCCGCCGGGGCTGCAAACCAGGTGCGCTGGGTCCCACGAGGGACGGCGCAGCAGCAGCACGTCGGTGAAAACAAACCTCTTCCTGCCCAGTTCCTCAGCCGCAGCTTGAAGGAGGTGGATTTGCAAATGCGCTGGACCCCGCGTGGTCTTATTGCCGTCCTAGCTCCAGGAGGCTTTCTGGAGAACCACGCCGGTCTAGCTAGGACTGCACTGGAGATCTGGCTGGCAAAACACACTGCCTCTTCATCCCAGCTGGGAGAGATGCTCTAAAAATGGCCTGAGCTTAGTGCAAAATTAGTTTCCGCATGTGTGTCTATGTATAATACCGGGAGTACTAGACTTACAATGGGATACATGGGAAAACTATATTGTGGGAACAAAGCTATTAGAGGTTTTCTTACAAGGAAACACACATTGAACTTCCCCATCAGCTTCTTTGCATGTCCAAGCCCAATAGGAAAAAAACAACAGTCAAGTTGTAGCAGAAGAAAAGCCGACATGCCTCTAGCCTTCTCTTCCCTAAGAAGAGCAGCAAGCACTTCCAGGATTTGTTGGGATGAACGCAGCCAGGCTGTAGAATTGCCTTGGGCTCAGGTCTCCAGGCACTGGGATGGTTAGACAGAGGTGGGGAGAGGAGGTAATGGGCACTGACCTCCAGGATTTCACTACTAGCTCACAGTACAGAACCACACTTCGCTGAAGACTGAAAGCTTAGACGCATGCAAGGTTGAAATTGCACGTTTGATTGGAAACAGCTCTAATCCTGGTTACTCTTACTCATTATCTGCCTATTACCATGGAAATTTAGGCTAATTGCAGCCAGATCTTGAGATGATATAAGTGGCTACAACTCCATTTCCGTTCGTGCAGGTATTCAGATTTGCTCTAGTTGAAGATCTGGCCTATAAGTGTAGAGACCAAAAAAACTGTCTCCTTTTTTGTATTATTCCACTGATGGCTCAAAAGAGATGGGTCGCGTTGCTCAAGCACATACAGATAAGCCGTATTTCGCATGCTTGCACACAGGCATGTGCATGCACACACACACACAATCTCAGTCAATCGGGTATTATCAGTGATATTCCTTAAACACCAACCCACATCAAACACTCATGACTCTTAAAATCAAGCAGGCAAGGTTCTTTGGGTGAATCTGATCTCTTTTATTAGACCAACTTAAATAGTTGGAAAAACATTTTTAGCAAGCACGTACTTGGGTCACATGACTCAAAAACATGCAGTGAATACTCATACGCACTTCACATCATTCAAACCTGGCAATGTTTAAGCCATCCTACAGAAAATCTGTGTATACATATGCACACACATGTATGCACACACACCCACTGATTATATCAAATGTTCCCTTTCTCTTCCCCCAAACCCTAACTTTAGCACCCAGTACTTTCCTCTTTGCATACTATTTTTTTTTGCCTTCTGATCTCTTGATAGTATCATAGAGTTTTAAAAAGCTGAAGAAGAAAAATGGCTGTGGAAAACATGACACTGGCTTAGCGTTGGGAAACTCTGCTTTAATGAATGGAAAAACTCTTCCCCTGAAATCAATAATAAAAAGTAGCCAAGTTTCTATCCTAGCATGGTGAGCGTGCTCTCTCCCACAAGGCTTTGTGACATTCAAGGTGTTAGATTTATTCCAGATGGTGCTTATAAAATCATCTATTGGTAGAGAGCAATACCCACCTTTATAAAATCCCTATAATCACCTGCTAGCCTGTGTGCAATGGGGGGTCAGAAGCTCTTGAGTTCTCATCCAAGACTTAGCACTGACTTCCTTTTCTGGCTGGACACAGCTCAGAGCATGATTTTAATTACTGTCAAGGTGTTTCCAACTCCCATGGGTTTCATGTGGAGCTGTGGGTGCTCAGTGACTCTGAGCCTTTGCCCTTTCTCTTTGGCTCTTTCTCCATCTGTAAATCTCAGCACTCTGCCAAAGTGAAGATATGTTCCTGCCCCAGTTTACTGACAGGAGCAGCAAGCAACACACAAGTCAAGGCTAAAACTGCTCTGAATTTTGGCCTCCTCCATTGCATGAGTGCATACCCTGAGTCTGCTGGTAAGAAAATGCTGCAGAGACGAGGAAGGGGCAGACCCAGGTGAAGAAAATCCTTGTGGCCCCAGCAGAAGAAGGTAACTAAGCTCCCAGCCAGAGAAAGGGGCTGCACCACCCGCCATGCCACATACCGACATGTGCTTGGGACCATTTAAAACCAGGATGGCTGAGCCGGAGTTCCCCATTGCAGGAGGCATAACTGTGCCCCCGTGATGCCTCCCGACCATGTAACACAGCAGCATCCTCCCACTCCCATCACCAGAGCCAGTTGCTCTCTGCAGGCAAGGATGGATTCGGGGGAGAAACAGAAATAGCTATTTTATTATAACACAGGCTGTTCAACCCCACGCCCGGTTCAGTCAGGCAGGAGCACCCTGGCAGCCGGCGCTCTTGCCCAACGGGATCTCAGTTTTGCTGTCTGCGCACTTTTCCCTGCTTCGCAGTTTCATTGTTTGCCTTCCTCTTTGCCCTTTGTCCCCTCCTGCTCCTATCCTGCCCTGCTTTTCTCCTACAGCTCATCCTGCCACCCATGCACCTTTCTTCTCTGCCAGGCCTGGGACTGCTTCCCCTGCCCACACTCCATTTTTGGGGGGTTATTCTCCCCAGCTGTCACTCCCCCCGCAGCTCTAACCATCACTCTCCCGCTGTCCTTGCTCCTTCCCTACTCCTAACTGCTGTCGCACCCATTGCATCCTGCCACTCCGCTCCCCAGCTGGCTGTCACTGCCGCTCCATCTACACAGCTTGACCCAGCTGTCACTCCCGTCGGTCCACATTTCCAGCCGACGGCTGCCCCCCATCCCAACTCTCATCCTTGCTCCTATTTGGGAAACCCTCCCAAACCTTGTCGCTCCCGCACGGCCATCCTCCACCTGCCTCTGAGCTGAGACTTGGGAGGAAATGGAAAAGAGGGAAAAGAGAAGAGAGGTGGGTGGAAAGGCAAGGTCAGTAAGGGAAGCAAGAGAGCTCAGCATTGCTCCATCTCCCAGTAATACTCCAGTTACCCCCAACAACCTGCCACAGCCTGCGAGGGAGTGTGGCTGAGGCCCTTCTCTCAGTTTTTGTCCTTTTCTTTCCCCAGAAAGTGGAAACACACCTTCTGCCCTTCCACAGACATGATAGTGCTGCTAGAGCAACACCAGAGCGATACTGGGAGATCGATCATCTTCCAAGGGGTTGTCTGCTGCATAGAGCGCTGGACTGGGACTCCAGAGCTGTGTCCTATTCCTGAGCTCGGTCTCAAGTGGCTTCGTGTTGTTGGGCAAGTCCTGGCCCTCTCCCTGCCTCAGCTTCCCCACCTTCTTTGCAAAGTGCTTTGAGATTTCCTGATAGCAAACAGATAATGAATTTCTATCTAAGATGCATGCTTTACATGCTTGCAAGGCAATCCTAATGGGCTTCCTGATGTTCCCCCCAGCTGCTCAGACAGGGAGGCAGTCACACATCACATGCCTGCAGTGTTGCAAGTCGCAGCTTGTGATTTTTGAACAAAAAACAATCAAAGCAATCATCTGTCCTTTAAAAAACGGAATTAAAGAGAGTTCCCCAACTAGCCAGAGTGTTTTTTTTTTCTACTGGAGACAGTTGGCTTACTGGGGTGGGAACAGACTCAACAGATTTGTCAAGACTGATCTGGGAAGGGAGTCTTGCATGGTTCCTACCTGCACGGGGCTTGGCTCCTAGCCCATTGCTTTCATGTCTGATACTGATAAGCAAAACCACATGCAAAACTAAGTCAGGGAATCTGCTTGGCCTTGAGTCTGGGAGTTGCTGATTTGGTGCTTAGCACTCATTGCCATTTGGCTTCCCCTTCCTTGCTGCTTTGTACCTCCGCTGATAAGACAGGACAGTCACCTCTCTTCCTCTGGGAACAATCCCACCTGGCCAGCAAGGAGGGCTGGGCTTTGCTGCTAAGCCAGGACCTTTCTGGCTCACAACTTGAAGCTCTGCATACATCTCAGCCTCTTTGGATGCTCCAGCCCTTCCGAGGCTTATTTCCTGGTCAGATGAATCTGATGCTTGGCTAATTTGCTGTCATATAGGTAGGAAATACGATCTGTTGATGGCTGTACCAGAAGACAGTTTGGTGTCTGTGCCATGTATTTCCTCTCCTTCGCTTTCACTCTTCACACGTCAGTTAGTCTTTAAACCAGTGATGAGCATGAAGACCCTGCTCGCCCACTCCGCCCAGCACCGCCAGCAATGGGTGCAGGGTGGATGGGCCAGGGTGCCGAAGCATCAGGGCCAGGTCTGGCAGTGGTGGAGACTCGCAGCAGCAGTGGAAGGAGCCACCACTGCGAAGGCTGCAGGGAAATGAGTCCGGCCGCCACACCACCCCAGCCCCGCTGCGCACCCGAGGGCACTGGGACTGGCTGCACATGCCACGGCCTGGGCTGCTCTCCGTGCCTGGGCCAGGCAGGGTCCAGGGACCTGCCACGGACCAGGCAAGGACCAGCCCGCAAGCTGTATTTGGCCCACCCCTGCTTTAAACAGAAGTTGCAACCTTAGGTGTGAATTCCCTGGGCCTCCTCCGTAATTCATACCGCATCTCTCCATGTCGCCAGCAGCCTCCAGGGCTCCAGGCTCAATGCATCATCTCCCGGGCCAGCTCTGATCTCTGCTGGCTTACTCCCCCCCTTATTCTGGTGCCATTTACCAATCTGATCAGGGCTGAAACGAAGCCAGACCAAAGAAGACAGGAAACAGCCATGCAGTGGGCAGGGGGATGCTTGTAGGTCCACTTTGAGAACCCGCACAAGGCGCCAGGGCTGGTCTCGGTAACATGGGTGTCTGTGCCAGAGCTTAGTGCTGTTTCTTCAGCATTGGGGCAGGGCAGACTCTGGCTCGGGAAATCTTGGGAATTCCCGCCGGCAAGGTCTGAATCTGAACAGTCTGGGAAGCAGGGTCAGCTCACCTCCCCGTAGCTAGGCTGTATCTGCTACCTGCAAGCAGGTTTTCTTCCTGCAGAACCTGGCGCCTGCTACACCACAAAGCCTCTGCCGCCATCACTAGACTGGCAGCACTATGTCAGCAGAGCACCCAGCAAAGCAGCAACATGTGCCAGCACACGGGCTTTCTGCTGGTGCGGCTGAACCTCCTGGACTAGCATCTGCTCGCTGTGTCAAACCATCACGGTGTGCTCTACGGCCCTTCTGGAGTTAGCCCAGGCAGGATGTGGGTGCCTTGTAAAAGCCAACTGCTGCAAACTAGCCTCACTCATTGCATTTGCACTGACCCTTTCTTCTCTGCCTCCACATCGCTCAGGGCTGATAAGCAGGGCAGCACAGAGGAAATGTTTAGCAGTGCAACAAGGTTTACTGTTTCCACAAAACCCAGAACTATGCTCCTATTTTTGAGTGCCAGCTACCCCCATATTATCTAATATTAACTAATTATTTACATATAAAAGCCAAGCAGTTTCCTGTACCACCTCTGTTTCTCTAAATGAAACCAAATAATTTCCATTAACCCTGAGCTGCCTAGGCACTTCACCCTATTTCTGCTCCAAGTCCCTTCCTTTTCCTGCCACTTGCCTTCAAGAAATGTCTGTGCTGTTACATTCCCTGTCAACCCCTTCACCAGCTCCAGAGGGTCGCCTATGAGGAGTTTCATTTCAAAGCGGCAAACAACAATGGAACAATTCAGCTCTGAGATGCTGAAAATGAGTGAAGAACCTCCCTCCTGATCCTTTCGGCAATCAGCTGATGCCCTGAAGCATGAGATCTGATTACCCTGATAGTACCCTGCAGAACTACAATTGTTATTAATCGTCATTAAATCATGTAGCAGAGAGAAGCAGAGATTTCCAGGAAAACCTTCTGTAAAGCAAGTGTGATGTCAGTCATCTGACTACTGTTGGGAGAGCCACGGGAGGGAAGCAGTTCACATGGGAATCTTTATGAGTGGAGACTTTCAAAGCACCCACAGCGCTGGCTCATTCAGACACTTAAGAGCCAAGATCAAGATAAAGCCCTTTCATGAAGGCAGCAATGGAGGCAATCTGCGCTTTTGGCTGTTATTGTGAAGGGGAAAAGAACATTTTGACGAGATCAGGGCCAACGTACCTTACTGCAGCGCGTGAACTCTGAACTGGGACGCCAGCTGAGCTGCAGGAGAGCAGAGTGCTGGGCTGGGCATGCAAATACAGCCGCATTTGTGCACATAGTATGCACATAGTATGCACAAATGGGGCTGGAATATATATAGTATGCACAAATGGGGCTTGCACGTGGGCACCCACACCTGTGATATGTGCGTTATGCGCACATTTAGCGTGACTGTGTATGTGGTGTGCATACACATATGTGTACAGTATGTGCACATTTAGCATTGTGGTGGGTGTATGCGTGTGTGTGGCACATACACCTGCAAGCACGATGTGTGTACACCCATATAGTACAGGAGCCAGTGCATAAAAACATACACTTTAAGTGGATGCAAGCTGTGTTTTAGAATATCTGATGTATATGTGTTACGTGTATGCAGTTGTATGCACCCACGTTGAGGTGTCCATGAAGTGTGCACACATGTGCTGCGTACAATTTGTGCGATGCATAAGTGTGAATACATATACAGTAAGTGTGTGCATATACAGTTAGTGTGTGCACACACCTGGTTCACAGTGTATGTATATGTGTATGTGTAGCATGTAGAGGGGGCTCAGGCCCTCCTGGGTGGTGTGTGCTTTTGTGAAGTACATATTAATTTCTTGTGCATATTAGCTCTCTTGAATGTGAGACTTGGCACGTGGATTTCTCCCTGGTAGCATCGAGGTCTCACCTCTCCCTGTTCCCAAGGGCCATCGCCACAGTTCAGGCCTGGAGTGTCTCACCTGATGAAGCTTGTGTGCTCTTGATCCTTTTTGGATAAAACGACAGATATTAGTTTCCGATATTGTCAAGCCAAAGCCCGTCACCCTCCCAGCCGCCTGGGATAGGGTGCTTCAGATGTGAAGAGGCTTTCAGGGGTGGAGGCCCTTCCTTTGAGTGCTTATTCAAGCATACACAACTCGTCTGGATGACACACCTGGACACCCTCCCGGAGAGGGGGCATGCCCTGCTTCATTTTGCCCCGATACTGCGACTCCTATCTCTGCACATTTCCTTTCATGCCAAGTGCTCAGTTGGCCGCCCTCCACCTCGGTCAGCTCTCCCCCTCCTCTCAGGAATGTGGGTTTTGTGGGAGGGCCCTGCCAGGGTCCCTCCTCCCTGGTACTGAGGTTAGGGATCCATACTACGTGAGGGGTCAAGATCGCCTCCTGCCAGGCCCTGACCAGTCAACGCCTGCAGACATCACGGGATACTCCCCACCTTGCAGGACCCAGCTGATTTCACCACTCGCGTCCTCTCATCCCAGTCTGGCACCCTCTTATGTACTTATGGAGATGTATTTCTGACGACTCACCTGATTACTTTGCTCACAGGCAAAGAAAAGTGTTCTCTAGGCCGGCCCGGAAGAACTTGCCGCCTCTGCACACGCCGTCCCACTGAACTCAGGGGGAATTTGCTGGACTGGGCCCCTTCCCTGCCAGCTCTTTGGGGCAGCGCCTCATCCCCGGTGTCCAGCGGTGTCTACATGGACGACTTCGGCGAGTCACAGCCTGCCTGCATCTGAGCAATAAAGCATGTTAGGGGGGTGCAGAAGGAAGAGCGGCTGGTGATCTCTTTCCTGCACGCAGCGGGCCCCTCCGCTGTCCCCAGCTGCAGCCTGGGCCCTTCTCCAGCTGTTCTGGTCCGCAGGGCAGCAGAGAAGTCGGCCAAGCCACTTGGCCACCCCCGCGAGTGCTGCTTGCCCCGCGGGGCAGGGACCCTCTCAGCATCCCTGCAGCCCGGCCCCCGGTCCCAGTCCAGCGGCTTGGAACGTTCGGACTCTGCCGCCCGCTGATTGGCCGAGGACCCCTCCCCACTGTCTTCCAGCGGTCCAGCTCCCCCTATCGGGAAGCGCTGAGCCCGTTCATGCAAATGAGGTCCTGGAACTCGCTCGTGGATTGGCTGCGGCGCGGCGGGGTCTGGTTCCACCGCTGCCTCCAGCTCCCAGACTGGGAGCGCGCGTAGGGGCGGCTGCGGGCAGCGGAGCATCCTTGCGCGGGCAGCGCCCCCCGCTTCTTGCTCTCCGCTTCTCGGCTGCTTTGCTCGGCCTCGGTGGGGGGGCACGATGACTATCAAACAGCTAGACCAGGGGCAGCATTACAGGCCGAGAATGGCAGTCCTCAAAAAGGTAACCCCGCCTGGGCAGGGATGCATCTCTCCCCGCACCTGCACCCCCGTGCCACCTGCCTCGCCCGCGGATGCCGGGACGGGCAGGGCACCTAGGGGCGGGTTGCAATGGCAAGTGCGGTCTCCTCCTGCTCTTGGGGCAAAGAGCCTTGTTTTCTGCAGGTGCCAGGGGGGACAGCCCGGTCCAGGGCACCGTGGGCCTCCTCCGGGGGTAGCAGCAGCGCTGGGATGAGACCTGAGAGGGAGGGAGAGGGTTAATCTGGATATTTAATAGAGCTCTATTTAATAGAGCAAACATTTAAAAAAGGAAAGAGAAGGGTTAATTTCTCGCCTCTTGCAGGTTTATCCTTGAATGATCCTAGGGGAAGATTTCCTCCCCCCCCATTTCCCCCACCCTGGACTAAAATCAGGGGGGAAAAAAAGCCCCGGTATCAGAGTTCGATTCTCCCGTGAACCGTCGTGGGTTTGTTTTTGCTCCCCTTCCCCGCAGCCGGCAGGGTGACATGCAGCCGATGTCCATTTTCAAAGGATACATCATGCTAACGCTGGCTGCGTGTCTGCCCCTCCCTTCTGGGAAGACAAGTGCATGTAAAATGGTTATAGCTTCGGGGAGCAGGGCAGCGAAGGAGCACGTTTCCAACGCCGTGCATCATTCTGGAAGGGCTTTCTGTCTTTTGTTTAAACTTCCATTGAAAAGCATGGTGCTAGAGCCAGTGTAGGAAAAGATCTTATAGAGGGTAGGTATTAATCCAGCTTTTCTCCATCCCTCTGTCGTTGCCTGGCTTAGCTTGTTGAATGGAATTAGCTGAATTTCCAGTGACAGGTACAGCTGTCCGGTTCGTATTTGTGTTCACTCCCCAGAACAATCAAGCACAGCAGAAAAAGGAATATGAGTGCAGACATGAAGTGTTTCTGCCAGAGCATGCATACACCACAACGAGGAGGTGGCTGGATTTGAAATTCAGAGGAGAGAGGCAACAGGGTGTGAATTTATTCAATCTCACAATATGAGTCCTACAGGACAAACATTTGTACTTTTCATGCTGAAGGCGACGTGTACAATAGTTCCTTTGCAGGTGTTTGTTTCTGGATAATCGGGCAGGGAAGCCCTATCAAAGAAAAAAAAAAATGGGTCACATTTTGCACTGATTTATACTGTGTGAAATTCCACTGAAGGCAATGGGATTGCTTGGGGAAGATAGAGATCATTAGTCTATACATTTATTTAAAAAAAACCTAATTAGCAGCATTTCTTTGCTCTCTCTAAAATGGGGATGAGCTCACTTATCAGCCTTTGCAAAGTGTTCTTGAGATACTTGCATGGGAGAAGCCAGGAGAGTGCAGCAAATTGCTGTCAGCTTGGGTCTTCCCTGGGAGACTTCACAGAGCGCCGCGTTGCTCAGCCTGAGACGTGGTCAGCCCCGCTCCTGACAGTTCAGCCCGGGAAGTTCCCGCGTGGCTGAGCAGGGGGCTTTGATGCAAAGCCATCTGAAGTTGATGGAAAGAATCTGGATCTGGCCTCTGGTTCTCACCTTCTCTCTGGTCAGATCACGGTGGGACCTGGTCACTTAGGGTGGTGACGTGCAGTCCATGTGCATGGGCAGGCCCTGTGAGCTACAAGTTGCTGCACACCTCAGACTCCCGTTGCCAGTGGGAGTGGGGGACCCGTTGCACAAATTGCTCGGGATTGGTTCTGTAGGAAGCTAAGATAAGCGATAAAGGCGTCATTAATTGCTCGAGTCTGCATTAGCGCCTTGCCACCAGCTGGCACCCCCACAGTCACATATGCTTCACGTATTGTTTGTGCCAGCCAGGCGGAGGGGGTGTGCTGCGGGTGTCGTAACACTGTTGGTCCTGATTGCTCCGCGAGCAGTGCAATGCCCGTATGCTTCCTGGGCCTGTGTGGGCTTGTTCCTGCCGCGTGGCCAGCACAGGGCACAGGAGACAGTGGATTCTTTTTCCGCAAATGAAGCAGGCTTGCTCGGTCGCTCCTCTGTGAAGCTGAGGCTTGAACGAAGCAGTTTCGTGCCGTGCAGGAGCTGAAACGTATGGCCGTGAATGAAATGGCACCATTCAGGGAAGTGC